ATATTTGGGCTGTGGGGAAAGAGCCAATAGAAAGGATCAGGAAAAGTATTTATATAATGGAACCATTAGAAGCAGTAGATAGGGGCTGCCACATTTCCTGTTTACTGAAGAGGTATTTGGAAATTTCCCTAGAAATAAGGAAATACCAAAGTGCCCCAGAAATTATCTTGTAGGAACAAAGGGGGGAAAAAACCTCATTATGTACTAAAATTACAAGACGAACAAGGATTCAGATAATGTAGAAACTTCAATTTTGGTGGCCAGCCTGAATTACTTTCCTCATAGAACTAGAGCAGTATTTAAGCCTCGAATGTAAGAGCCCCACAACTCTACAGCCAGGACAAGAGATCAACAGTCAGATTACTGATGCCAAATGCTTGCATCAAGAAGAAAGAGGTTTTCCTTTCACCTGGGTGCTTGCACTTGGCCTCAACGCAGTGGTACCTCCACTAGCATCCTGAACCTCTATGCGACTGGAAAGCACACCAAAACATTGTGATACTTCCTGATAGCAGATCTTCCTGCATGACCCCAAAGAAAAGAAAAAATTGATACACAGCAAGTAATACACACAGAGGTACTGATGCAAGATATCCAACCTGCAATGCTTCTCTTTGGTTACCATAATCAGAATAGTGAGCAGGGAGGTCAACTTGTGCATGAAACCCCAAATCTCCTTGTCCTCAGACTCTATAAGCAGAATGCATTATTGTGTTTGTTTATCAATTCTCACCCATATGTTCACTACAAAGAACAAAAGGAAGAATGTGCTTACTTAAAACCAAGAAAGGTGCAATGCATCTTTTCTCTCCTCCTTCCAAATGCAACTGTCCAAATCAAACCCTAGCAACCGCTTCTCATTCTGCCTACCTTGGTGACTCATAAAGCGGAACGGTGCGTATATGCAACTTTTGAATTTCATCAATAGTGCCAATTGTCAATGTGCTGTTGTTGGCCAAAGCCAAGCTGCAAAATAAGGACAAATAAAGATATTTTACTTTCAATAAGAACAGTGTTCTTGCCCTTAATTTACTATGTGCTCTCTTTTGATCACTGGGTTCCTCCCACACAGCTAAAGTAATGAAAACACAAATTTTCACAAACATACCATTATCTATTATTGATGCTTGCAGCTTATTGAAAGAGTAAAGAATACTGCAACAAAAGTGGATATATGTGCCTAACAAGCATCATTTACTGGAGTATCAGCTTCAGGTAGCTAGCTGCACATGGATATCACATCACTTGGGGAAAAAAGTATGTGTGTAATGGTGGATGACAACCCAGGTACAGAAAATACGCCTCTCCTAGCTTGCTATAGGGAGAATTCTTACTGTGCAATCACAGAATAACTATGAGGTATGTCCTGTAGCAGTGCCATGTTTTCCCAAGAGCCTCTGTATCAAGGAACAGTATTTTTATCTTCCCATTTCCTCACTGCTTAGAATCCCTTCCTTTCATCTTTCAGTTCAAAGATCTATTCAGAGACTCAATAGACTGCACTGAGAAAGTGATCAAGGTTTCCCAGTGAGCTTCATAGCCAAATGTGGATCAGCATTCCCTCCTGAGTCACAGTCCAACACTCCGATAAATTACACCACTCCAGACAGAATTTATAATTAGACTCAGCAGGAAAAACATTTCCTGTGAAGAATCAGAATGAATGTACTTTGTGCTTATCTTCTGTAGAACCTCTTTAGTTTGGGAAGAAGGGAGGGAACCCACCAAGATTTAGCTCTTTCCCTCCATACTCAGTTTTGCAAGTAAACAAACTGTTCATGTGATTGCTACACTGAACAGGCTCCTTAATTTATAAGCTCAACTGCTCAAAGGAATCAATACACATTTTCTTTATAGACCCACCCTAGAAGGGCTGCAAAATATTTGCAGCTTCCACCCACCACTTAGGACAGAAGAGGAAGAGCAAGCTGTGCTCTGTAGGCATTTAGAGAAAAGTGACGGAACACATGTACCTGTCAGGATACCCGTCTGAGTTGAGAGGGCACATGTAGTTCACTTCTTTAAGATTGACATTAGAAAAGACGAGCTTGTGATTGCTGCTGTAAATCACTGTTGGGCGGTCAGAGCAGGCAAAGACATTGGTGGTGGAGAGGGAGCGAAATGTCCTTAAAACAGTGGGCTGAGTTCCCAACGTTACTTTCTTCCGATCACTCAGCAAACCTGTCACAAGAGAACATGGCATTAAATGCTACCCACTGAGACAAAGAGCTACAGAGCTGCTGCTGCTGTTGGTGGTCTATCTATCATATGAAGAACGATGACATTAGCACTCTGCTAAGCAATTTAATGATCCCTGTGGGTGCTCCGTTTCCACAGAAATTCAATCCAGATAAAGAGCAGGGGGACAAAAACATAGTTAAAGTGTGGTGCTGAAGAAGGGAGCAGCTGCTGTGGTACAGAAATCCTGCAGTATCTGAGTTCCAAATATTCTGTTCTCTTTTGGACACATATGACTTTCAGAAATGGCAAAACAGTTCTTCCAGCTCATGGCCATTTAGAAGAGATGTGCTGAAGATGGGGACAGCAGGGAGAACTGGGTAGAACCACAGCATCCATTAACACTTTCCTTGGACATATTTTCCCAGTTGCAGTCCTTTCCCCATACTACTGGTGTGGGATCTTGTGACTCAGAATATACTGCTGCCACTGCAGCTGTCATCAGCCTTCGCCAGCAGAAGCAAGGACAAAGGATGCTTGCCACCATGCCTGCTATTCCACTTCATACCTCCATAAGACAACACTTAGCTAACATATAGAAACTGGTTTGTTCACCACCTTAGAGCAAATCAACAGTTTCAAGGTTTTGTCCAGACGCGTTATTCCAGGAAAACAGTGCAAGAGAAAGGGTTTAAGATTCCAGTTACCAAGGGAACAGCCTTGACTTTTTTTTGAAAAACAACCACAGAAAAACCTACTTCGTGGAGATCAAATCACAAATCTCTTGATATCACCAGCAAAGCGAAACAATGTGAAAACAACGAGCCTACACCTCACCTGACTCAATGTTCAAGCCAAAGTAGAAAAGAGCCCCGTCCCCAAGGGCACAAAGCAGATAATGGCTACTCTCAAATGTGGTCATCAGAATGGAACGTGGGATAATCTCTGCAGAGAGAGGAAAGGCACTGGTGTCAGTATCACCTTTCCCACTATTTAGCCCCCCAGCACAAAAACATACCAGGCAACTCTTACCTCCTCCCAGCATCTCCTTGTGTAACAGCTCAAATGAGGGTAGCTTCAGAATGCGCGCTGAGATGTCTGTCCAGAGGCCAATAGCACACAGAGGCGACATGCCAGTGGTATCTCCCAGAGGAGTGATGTCCAAACAGGCCACTTCATGCTCCATTTCTGTGCAGCTAACAAGGAAGCAACAAGTCAGTCTTGCAGCAAGACTAAACAGTACCTCAAGATGTCCAAGGGGGAGGAACTCAAACTGACCTTATCTGCTTGAGCTCCCTGGGGTGGATTTCAAGATAGTATAATACTCTCCCTACAGCCACCACAACTTGACAGCTGTTGCAGGAAGCCACACTAATGTTCTTTCTGTTGGGCTCTTTCCATTCACTTACAAGGGCCTTAGGCTCCTGACTGACCAGTCGTACCGAGGCTGATGTTATCTAAAGGGGAAAACCCAAACTGTTATTTCTTTCCATTTCACATGCAATCATTCTTCAGGCCTCTATCCATGAATGTCAGACTCCTTCTATCTCATTAAGATGTCATGCTTTCACAAAGTCTGGCTGTTACCTGAATTAACTGCTGATGCGCAACATTGCCACAGAAAAAAGTTTGCTGATCATCCACAAATCCTGTCAGTTCTGTTTCCTCCACTTCTTCCCCATTCAACATCAAAACCCTGCAAGAGTGAAGAAGACCAAATCAAACTTAGCAGAAGCAGAGAACATATACTAGTTATCAAGATCACACTCAACTCAATAAGGGATCATCAATTTCCTACCTGGTTTGTCCCACAAAGGATAGCACTAAGGTGTTATCAGTTTCATGGTGGGGGTCTGATCTCAGGGGCCACAATCCTATATTGCAGAGACAAAGAATATTTAAAGGAAATTAAATATCCTTTGAAAACCAAGGGGTCTTGTATTCAACTGATAAGCAAACATATCTTTCACCTCACTCCTTTGGAAACAACAGAAAGCGTTTATGTTGATAAATTCTACATTTGTGTAATTTTTCTAACCATAGCTATAGATGTATTATGTATAATCTACCCTGTTTTTAAGAATTACATTTTTACGTAACAGAGACAGGGGATGGAGGCAAACAAAAACAATGCAGAAAAGGGAGAAATACATGAGATCTGGGAGATGCAAGTGCTGAAAAGGCAGAAAAATATGAGATAATGTAATCTTAGAATTTTATTTTCTGAAAACATGCCCAGCCAGCTTTTTAACACACAAGCACTGCCTACACTCTTCCACATAACAACATGGACTAGAGTTCTGTATTTAAATAAAGGTTTAAAATGTTTATTCATAATATTTCATATGTGACAATCCTGCCAAAACTAAAGCTGTCTGCAATATGAACTACCATGACTGAAGCTAGTGCCATAGATAATAAATTTGTTTAAGGATGACACACCTTTAATTCCTGGCAGATCAATGCTGGCATGTTCATGAATCCCAATACCGTTCCGAATAATCCTTAGAGAACCCTCCTTAAAGGCACCTGAGCATGTAACCAGCTATGGAAAGTGCAAACAGCTGTTATGGACATTGATAATGGATACCATTACTATTAATGAACAGAATCTTAACCAAGTGCAATAATCATCTATTTCAGTTACTAAGGACAGGAAAGCCTTCTCTACAATCTAAGCAAAAGACTTGAGGAAGGTCCTACAGCTACCCTCAACTCTGTGGGAAAATACTGCCAGAAAGGACTTAGGAGTAGAATACAAGGGCCAAAATATATTTTCTTCAAGAGACAGTTAAGAGCATAAGAGGAGTTCTGACAGACCAAGCCAAAGGTTTAACTAGCACAGCATTTTGTTCACAGTGGACAATGTGCTACCTGTGGGAAACCTGCTAACAGGATATGAGTGTACTCATACTCCCCAGCAACTGATACGCAGATGAACATTGTTGCTGATACTGTAGGCGATAAAGTCATCATGACTAATAGCCACTAACAGACTAGTTCTGCTGGGTTTCTCTAATAATTTCATGCTGTCAAGTCAATTACACAGACTTTTTCCAGAGTTTCTAGGTACGAGTACTCATGAGGGGCTGGCCATTCCTTTTTTCTGGAATTATGCAGCTTGCCCAAGGTCGCTGGCTGTTCTTATGCAGCTTGCCCAAGAAGCTGGCTGTTCTTCCAGAAGGCTCAGTAAGGAAAAGAGTGCTGTGGCCAGGCATCCTGAACTATCCAGAAAGCTATGAATTTCTCTAATACTCTTTTAAAGCTGTCCGAGATAGTGCCCACTGCTAACAAACAAATCAGCCTCTCTGGCATGTCACACATACAGCCAGCAGGATTATTATTTTTGCAATCTATCATCAGGTTGACTACAACCAGTATGTGTACAATGGGCAGTGTGCCTAACTTGGCACTGGCAGGCCCAGGTTCATAACTCTGCTCTGCATGTGATGCTTACTGCTGGATGACCACGGAGCAGTCAAGCCTTCTCAACCTAACCTCACTGCTCAGAGCAACTTGGAAGCAAATCATTACGAAAATGCAGTATTACTTCAGAAAACACACAAAAGTAACTCCTCTTTGTGAAACCAGGCCCCCAAGCTTATAGAAGGAAGAGTCAGATTTACCTGCCCTTGACCTTGTCTCTCAAGATCTACCACACACATGTCCACAATGGGACCAAGGTTGGTGAAGGTTTCCATGGCGACAACATATGAACCTTGCTCATTACTGTCCACGTTGAGCTAGAATTGAAAATAAGGTTAACTAGGCATCTCAAACAAAATGAAAACAGGGGAATGACACGTGCTAGAATAGCAAAGTGTGATCTGCAAGGCCCTGTGCAACCCCTAAAGCCAGACACTAGTGTTGAAAAAAAAGGAACAGATGGAAAAAAATCTACTACTAGGAGACTCCAGTGATTTTGATATAAAGGGGAGATAGGGACCCCAAATCACCCCCACCCACTTCCTCCAAATAAATCAAAGATGGGAGTGAAAATCTGGAAATTTGATGCTTCCCATTCCCAGGGGCTGGCATAGCATGTGCTGGGTCATATGAGTGTAAGATTAGCCTTGGAATCTTCAAAACTGCTCATCCTTATGCTACAAATTAAGAGCCCTAATAGATGGCGAAAATGCATATATTTTTCACACCTACGTATGCCATTTATTTCACAAAGCAGAGGCAAGGCGTTTCTACTGGCTGCAACGTTAACGGTTCACTGAAAGCACCACTTTACCTTCACCAGTTGGGAGTCCCCAAGCCGTGAGCCAACAAACACAACACCATTGTCTAGGTAAGTCAGGCATTCTGCAATGGATGTCTAGATGAGGACATGGCACAGAGAGAGACATGGGAAACTTTTTATTAACACAATACTTTGAGGAGCATATAATCTATTTATAATGCAGAAAAGAAAATTACCAGTTGCCAAGGCAGAACAACAAACAGAATCTAAGAAGTCTGAAGCCAGAAACTGAGACCACACTCTTCGCAGCTGTATAAAACTGCTCGGCAAATTTGGGTTAGCCACTGTCTTTTTAAGCTTTTCTAAGCACCTTTGATGAATGGGCAGGACTCAAGTGTTAAAAATGAGTAAGAAATCAAATAAGTATAAAAACTAAGAATTAGATATGTGAGAAAGTCTCAGGGAACATGCAGCCTTAACTCTGAGGGAATTCTTCTGTTTCCCAAGGTGATTGCCCAAGACAATTCTCTAGACCAGTGGTTCTTAACCTTGGGTTACTCAGGTGTTTTTGAAACTAAGAATTAGATATGTGAGAAAGTCTCAGGGAACATGCAGCCTTAACTCTGAAGGAATTCTTCTGTTTCCCAAAGTGATTCCCCAAGACAATTCTCTAGACAGCAACGATTCATGATCATGGAAGCATTTGGTTCTCTCAATTCAGTCCAAGTTCAAACAACTTCTAGGTAAGTAATCAGCAAACATTCATGATCATGGAAGCATTCGGTTCTCTCAATTCAGCCCAAGTTCAAACAACTTCTAGGTAAGTAATAAAAAATTACTATTTGTGAAAGGACATAACTTTTCCAGTTTCTGCTAAAGGCTTCTTTTTACACCTTCTCTCCCCCCCCACCCCATAACTCCCTCTTTCCTGCTTGCTACTATTTTACAAAGGAGGCAGATCAATGAAGTTACCTCTCCAAGCAGTTCCACACGCAAGTCTTTCAAACTGACACCACCATCCATCTGCTCTTCCTTCTCCAACAGAAGCATGAAAAGCCGGCCCTCCATGTCACCCAGAAGGTAACGGGACCCATTTGGATCCACACGATTGTGGCATACGATTGTACTTTGCTGTTTCATGAAGAAGAAATAATTCAGAGCTCTTCTCAGAAAAAAAATGGTGTTTACATTAAACTGAATTTTCCAGGTACACTAAATTTCCTATACAAAAGTGTCTCAGGGTTAAAAAGCACCAGGACATTTTAAAGATGTAATTTTAAAACATGAATTAACAACAAAATATTCTGTATTTTCTCCCAGCTATGTGTGAGAGCTATTTCTAGTAATGAGTGCTTTGAACTACAATAAAGTTGACTCTGCATTACTGACAGGCCATCACATTTCATCTCCTACATGTTGTACCAAGGAATATTTGCTGCATTTATAAATTGTTGTATCTTCTAGCAACAATATGAACACTACAACTTAACAGAATTCAGACCATTTATCAGTTGAGGACCAGCTGTTTTTGTATGATTTCCTTCCAGGGCATCTCCAAATATGTTTCCAAGCCTGACAACAACACTATATGAACAACAACTACACCAGAAACCCCTTCGTGCCCTCAAACTGTCACAGAAGGAAGTTCTATAGAGCTACAAACATTAGCTTCTCAGTATATATTGTCTGGAACAAGGTTTGACAGAAGGTTAGTCTTCAAATATTCTGGATTTCATCACAGAAGGGTATCATAGCCAATGGTCAGAGATCATATGAAATGAGCAGTCCAAAATATCTAGAGATTTACCTTCTATGTATCCTAACCTAAAGTCCAAAAACAAAAAAACCCACAACCAACCCCTGGTTCATTTTTTAAATGGAAAACATCTGAGGGAACAGGAATTGGCCTCAAACATTCACATTTTTCAAATCTGCATGCTGACTTTCTCTCCCTTTGTCTGTTGCTTAGCTAACTTGTTTTTTCTCTTGCCTCCAGTGACCTCAAAAATCACAGTTGTAACATCATCACATTAGTTAATCAACCAGATTCAGCTACAAACAGTTATCATGTCAAACAGACAAAGCTGATTTAGAATGAATGCACTGCTTCCTGAACTGGTCACAAGGGTGATCCCAGACAGTTACGGGTCAGAGAATACAGAGGGAAAGCAAGTACTTATGAATAAGCACAAATTTCTGAAAGCATTCCCCAAAAATTCTTGGAGAATATCTCTAACTGTGGTTTAGCCTTAATTCAATCCTCAAACACTACCACTTTCAATCATCATCTCTGATCACTGAAATGCATAGTTGGAAGGGACCCTATGGATCACTGACTCCAGCCTGTCAAGGAGGCACAGTGAGGAATCAAACTCCCAACCCTCTGCCTAAACCACTGAGCTATCCAGCAGTTCACATATACATGAAAAACAGATCTCTCAATGAGAAACTGGTACTCACCTTGATGATTGGTGGGGCTATAGCTAGGTATTTATCGCCATTGTGGTATGTGATGGATTCTTGTCCAATAATGATAGCACCTCCAAATGGCTCAGGCACTGTAAGGAAGATGTTAGGAGCATGATCATGAGGAACACAGAGAATCATTGACATAGGAAAGCAATACACACTAAATACTCTAAACAAAATAGGTGAACAAGAATGAACTCCCATCCCCCTTTCTTCATGTTTTGTGTGGGATCATCCCATCTCTTTTTACAGTGTTTTAAACTATATTCTCACCTAACAGCTGTTTGATACACACAGAATCTCCTGTTCATCAAAGAAATGCAGGCACTGTTTCAAAGGAACAAAGCCATTTGTAAGTAGAATGAACATGATCAATGACAAAGTAATAAACCAACAGAAACTTGGAGAAGCCACTATTTTATCATATGTTTGACTATATAATGTTAGCAATATCACTTATCAATTAACAGAAGCCATCAGGGCTCTGATTTCACATCCAGTTCCTCCTCTTATAGCTGGATTTGCTCTTGGGCAGCTATTATTTAGACCACTGGTTCTTAACCTTGGGTTACTCAGGAGTTTTGAACTGCAACTCCCAGAAGCCTTCACCACCAACTGTGCTAGCTGGGGTTTCTGGGAGTTGCAGTTCAAAAACATTGAAGTAACAAAGGTTAAGAACCACTGATTTAGACCACATGAAACAAAGGCCAGTAGGAGACAAAATAATGTAATGAATTTCAGATTTTCTTCAGTGGAGACCTCAAACAAAACTACCAGGCACCTCTACTTTGATTTTAAACTTGGCTCTCTGTTTTCTTCTCAATGACTCAAAGACATGAAAGACCCCTGGAAGGGAGCATCTTACAAATGATGATTAATGAACTATCAGCACTGCTGTGTTAGGATTAGACAACTGCAGCCTCAGCATCTGACAGTTATCTGCTTAACTCAAGCTTACTTGGGTGTGCCTTTCTTTGATGAAAAGATGTATGTGTTGGTTTCACCATGCAGCATTTGGATAGAAAATAAAAGGCAGCATTTTGGACTGCCAAATTGGATAAACTAATGCCTGAACTCTCCCTAAGAGTCCTATAAAACTTTACAGACTTCAGGGAAAAATCAGAAACCTGTATTTGTCACACCTTACCTTATCCCCCCAAAAGGGTTAATTCCAGACGCAAGCAAACTATCTCTGACAATCAAATCAACATTCATCTGAGTATCAAAGTATACATCTTTTCACTGTTGCAGTAATTTCTAACAACATCAGCTTGTCTAATTATTCAAGTTTCTTCAAATTTGTTGTAAAAAAAAGGACGGGTACAGAGAACACTGTAGGCATAAATGCTTAAACATAAACTGCCCTCCAAAAGTCTTACAAATATGAAAAGTTGCAAATAAGAAACAATCCAAAAAAAGAACATGTTGTAGGTAGAAATTAAATCAAATTATATTGGAATTAAAAAATAAAGGTGCTTATGCCCTAAAAAGGCAAATTCAAAAGCAAAAGTCAGAGGATATATCTCTTAACATATTAAATTTGTTAAAAATAAAAATATATAAAGTAAAAAAGCATTTCTCAGTTTTTTAGCATGTTTACACACAGAGAAAATTGCTCTTAAGCGCTTAGCCAACCAAGTCAGCTTTGTGCCAGTATGCATCTATGGAGGAAAACCTATTATTACTGTTGTTGGTATCCAGGGTATGTGGTACGCATGATGCCACATTATGTTGATGAGTTTGATGTTTGTAAAGTACCTACATTTATCATTCATCCAATTGTTTCCCTTTTCCTCCTAACTATAAACAAACATTTCTGCAGGGACTTGGAAATCCAGGGTCTTGAGTTCCAAGAAAAAAAATTCAATTGAAAATTGTATTGTTCTGACTAAGATTTTGCAAAACATGAGCCACCATTGCTCTGTAACTACAAATCCTTGCAACACCAGGACCTTATAACACCAAGATTCCAGATCACCAGAATATTGCTACCCTAAAATCCCGAAGCACTAGACCACTTTGAACTCAAAAACATATGATCACCAAAGGGTGCACTGTAACAGTGATCCCCAACCTTAGGCCTCTAGATGTTCTTGTACTTCAGTTCCCAGAAATCCTGACCAGCAGTGGTGGTGGTAAAGACTTCTGGGAGTTGTAATCCAAGAACATCTGGGGGCCCAAGGTTGGGGACCACTGCACTATAAGACTTACATGTTTACAAATTGTAACATAAATAATTTCATGACAGGATAAACAAGTTCATTTTAAGAAACAGTTCAGCTGTCAGGAGTCATTTTGCTCACTTTGCTAGCTAGATAATTGTTTTGGTACACTTCAGTGTTTTGCATCAACAATAGTAAAGAGTGTTCCCTTTCATTGTCATCCTCGCCTCGTGGAAGCCTCGCCAGTTTGCATGCAGGGGGTGGGGTTTCATCCAAAACCTGGAAGTAAACAGGCATCAACCCCCGACTGCCACTGTGCGGCACCAATGGAGCTCTGCGCATGTGTGCACCTTAGAAGGAACGTTGATAGTAAGCTATTATTCAAGCCTCAATTTTTAAAAGCATTTTTGTTTTGTGGGATGATTCTTCTTTACTCCTTCTCTATTATTTTGACATTCTATACACACCAGATTTGAAACCTTGATCAGTGGATGTGTTAAGGTCTCAACAAAATTTTGCCTAATACAAGCAGCTGCCTCAAACTCTCCATTATATTTTAAAATAGATACTGTATATATGTAGTTTAGTGTTTATTCTCCTCTTTTAGCCTCATAAGTACAACAGGATTTGGGACTGTACACAAGAGAAGCAAACCCATCAAAGCGTCATGGAGCTAGGTTTACAGGAAAGCAGCAACATCGTCATTGTCATCATCATATGAAGCTCTGCAAACAACTTCATTTGTAAAAATCTTCTCATTCTCCACTCCAACAGATTGCTATTTTTAAATAATTTCATACAGGTTGAAGTGTAATGATGCAAGACCGAGCTCCAGTGCATAGGATGTATTTCACTGCTCTGTTTCCTATGTACGTTATACCAGAAATCAACTGCTGATTTTGACTTCTATGGGGCTACAAATACATGTTTAACCACAGCTAGAAATAATTCAGCAGGACTTGAGCAAGAATTGTCTGCAACACACACTCACATGGGCAGTTACTGCAAAAAAGCGAGAGCAGGAAGCAAGATAGTTAGCCATAACCCGAATGTCACCAGTAGAGTGAGAAACTGTCAACACAAAATGACTACATCTGGAGTCTTAAGAGTGGAGACCACAGCTAGTTCACTAAAGAAGGAAAAAAAGGGCACTTTATTACACACATATAGCTCATCGCTGAGACTTGCTGACCGAGATCTTTTTCTAAACTTGAACCTACCTGCAATTACCATGGAGGCTTCAGCCTCCACATTTTCCTGTTTCCAGGGCCCCTTGTTAAACTCCTTCTCTCGTAAAGACACTTCATAGGTCTTCACATGACGGCCCTGTGGATCCTACAGAGAGGGAACAATAGCTATTGTCATTGCTAGAACATGCACGCCATTGCACTTGTTTAAGAACAACAAAGACAGCAAAGAAGAACCAGACTGCACTATATAAAAAGGGGGTGGCACTGTTGAAAGATCATTGACATTTTTATGATAAGATGTTACACTCTATAACCAACAGACTAAAATTCTGCTACTTGGCCTAGTAAGTTAAAGCTAGATTAGGCCCATTGAATCAGTGGGGATTTAGTGAGTCATCTCCTCCATAAGTTAAATAGGCCCATTTTAATTGTGACTTACAAAGCAACAGCATTTCAGCCATTGTTTTCTACTTTCTTGACAAAGTTACCAAGAAGCAGATAAATGAATTATTTTTATTGCCTAAAAATGGCTTGCCTGTGTCTCTTCTGCCATCCACATGGGTTTCAGGGAAAGATTATACCTCCTGTACATCTAGCACAGAAACATAGTCAGCTGGTGGCAAATGCATAGATTACTTGGCCTCTTTCTCAACTGGCTGCCACGTTCCTATCCTAGATGAAGAAGGTACACCCATATGCTGCAAGCCCAGTTTAGAAGGTTAGCCGCTGAAGCCCACGTCACTACGGTCTCCCTGCTGCCAACTGCTGTAATTCCTTGCTGGATGGGCAGGAAAGGGTTCCACCACTTGGACATTCAGTAGCAAAGGCAAGTAAACTGGTGGCAGAAGTCACAAGTAAACTGACTAGATGCACAGAAGGTTCATAGGAAGTAGACAATAGAGAGAAAAAAATCACCTTCAGAATAAGCCCTTTTGAGTTTTATGCTGGATATGAAGGAGTGAACCTTCATCACTTGCAGAATATGGAAACGGGGTGAGCTGCCATCGGGTGGTGAAACACTACATGCCTCTAATGGACAATATGGAAATGGGGTGAGCTGCCATTGGGTGGTGAAACACTACATGCCTCTAATGGAAACCCAAGGTATTCTATGTCAGGCAGGGAGCAGGCTCATTCCCCCTCCACTCCCATTGCCTTTGTGCAGCACAGAATTGCTGCAAGGAAACAGATCTGCCAAATGTAGGGAAGGAAATTTTTCAGGCATCCACCATATCAATATGTAGGCGCTAGTGATGCTTTATTGAGCTAGCATTTATTTTAAAAAGTGAAAGCCACACTGCTGAAATAATTAATCAAAGCACAGAGGGTTTAACCGGAGCACAAATCAACATTTTAAGCCTGGTTAACTGACGAGAAAAAGGAGACTTCTATTCACTATAGTATTTTGCAGTTATAGGATGCAAAATACATAGGTAATGATTATAAGAGCCATATCACTCATGAAGATGACAAATGAATAAGACTTAGCTCACGGCCTGAGTAACTGGAATGTGTTTAAGTAATAAAGCAATAGTGTATATTCACTGTCAGCACTGTAACAGTTTTCAAGATGCTACAGATCACTATAGTGACAAGCAAAGGAGTATGATTAGGGTAATGCTACTTTTTAAAAAACGATGTATGAAGGATGTGTAAAACCCAGCATTTCCTGATTCACTGTTAATACACTGGCATTAAGGTGAGTTTTTTAGACTGTTACTTAGAATGGAATAAAATGGTAAACCACTTCTGAGTACTGTCTACCTGGAAAACTCTGAAGAGGATTGCCATAAGTCAGAATTGACTTGACAGCAGATGATTATTTAGTTAAGATGTAAAACACTGAAATAGCTGCTTGTGCCCAAAAGAGGAAAAATTGTATGGGGCAACTGCTTCAGACCGGAAAGTCTGAATTTGGAGACCACCCTTTAACATGGGATTATAAATCTGGACCAACTCATGATTTGAAGAGATGGCTTAAACCACACTTTCCTGGTCCATCTATCATAGTCAAAAAAGCAGTTTAACAAGCAAAAAGAATTACTTTGCAAGTGTGTATAATAGGAGGAGGAAATACTCGAGTTCATTTCACTGCTAACAAATTTGGTATGTTTATCTGAACTAAGTCATCATCTCTTAGCCATAACTTGTTGCAGTTGTACCATCAGGAAAGTCAAAGGAGTCAGAAAAAGAAAAGAGAAATGAAGAAAGCACAATTTGAAGAGCTGTATCTAGGAAATTACACAAATGATCAGGCATTGCATTATAAAAATGTGAACAACATTCATCAGGCTAAAACTGAAATACAGTAATTTTTTGTTTATATAATACAAATAAGCTAAGTCATCTTCGAAAACAATGTTGAACACTTGATACAAGTAGGATAAAGACAAAAAAACCTTTTTGTTTATTACTATGTGGAAATTATTACGTAACCAACCCACTGTTTATGCAAGAATGGCTTGTTCATTATAAAACAGAGTAACATCTTTAACTAACTGATCTTTAATATTACGGGCCTGTATAAATTTGCTCATTTATTAATAAATGATCTCACACTACAGCTACATATCACAGCTATTCCTTATTCACTACAAAAGCTACCATTTTACAGACCATAACTGAACTAAGTGTCTGAACAGTAAGGCAGGAAGCCAACTTTATATAAAAATAACCCCCAAACACAAAAGGATTACACGCTTTCAAAGTAGGATTGCTATATAAGCAAATCAGTTTGTTAGACAATCTGTGGTGATATATCAGGTGATGAAGGGCAATAGTTCTTGACCATGAAAAGCATTCATGTCTCCAATTGTGCTTTCAGCAATACAGTAGCACAGACATGGTGGATAAGTAGCCCTGCAACAGCGGTCACACTATACTAGAAAATAAGAATATATGGAGAGCCCTGCTGGATCAGATCCAAACTGGCCAACGTCTCGTCTATGGGAGGCCTGCAAGCAGAACTAGAAGACCTTTGGTTTAGAACTCATACAGAGACAGACTGCCTCTGGTTCCAATATATTTCCACCATGACGAGTAGCCATTCTCTGCAAATACACTCAATCTTCTTTTTAAACTATCCAAGCATGGAGCCATTCCTACACTGAGTAGGAGCAACTTCATTTTATTATGTGTTGTGTGAAGAAATACTTCCTTTTATCTGTGCTAAATCACCCACCATTCAGCATCGAAGGAGAATCCGGGTTTTTGAATTATTATCACATTCATATACTGTTCAGAGACTATTGGGTTTCTCTAGCCCTGGTCTGAGATTTCCATTTTAACTTAAGGTCCCAATATGAGTACCTGGTAAACAAAGCAGATGGTTGGAGCCTGGCATCCATACAGGAACTTGACATCGATGACCTGCAGCTCCTCCAGACGAATGTTAAATGCCTTTAATTCCTTATTTTCTCGTTCTAGAGGAATCACTTTGAAGAGGCCATCATAGAGGCGCAGTCCAATCATTCTACACTCAGGGTCAATTATACCAATTATCCCTGTTTCTGAGGGACGACCAATACGATCCTAGAGGACAACAGGAAAGAAAAAAAAACAGTCACAGCAAACTCCATCTAGGTTAATAAGCTGCATCTTGAAACAGGCATCAGTTAACCCCTTGAAACATGCTGAACTGGCTTTTATACTCAGCTTTTGGGTTCTGTCTCAAAAAAGCACATTTTACTTATTCATCTCTATACTTTCGCCACTAGTAAGATATTATCTATTGGCAATCATCCATCTTATGTCAGCAACAACTGATCATCGTCACTTACGAGATGTGACAAGTGACTCATGAATTCTGGCTTAAGACATTAAAACCAAGTAAGTCCATGCATCTATACATGGGGCAGAATTCTGCCTATGCAGCTCTGTGTACATATGGCTGAAGACATCATTAGACATGGACATTCGTTTTTAATTAAAGGTTTCTCATTTGGCCCCAGCCCAGCCAGATTCCATATGACATGGGGAAGATTTTGGGGTCCTTAGGATGAGGGTGGTGATTTTTTGACATTAAAGGCTTCCTCTCATTTTGTAGACTTCAAATGCTTCTCCAGGTAGAAAAGGATTCCTAGGGAGCCTTGGAAGGCGGAATGGAGTGATGGTAACAAACCTTCAATTAAAGATTCACTTTCATAGCTGATGGCATAATCAGCCTTACTCCTACAGAGTGGAGCAAACAGGATTCTGGCCATTCACTGCAATTTTCAATTTTGTACCATACTGCAACATTTATATTTGATAAGATCACCTGCTTCCCAGTCTTTAACTCAGCAGTCTTTTGCAGTTCAACAACTAGTACCAGATGTTTACATACACATGCATATGCTCTGGAAAACTCGCGATGGCAAGGAAGGGTAGCTTTTAATAGTGAAAAATCAAAGCCAGATTGTTGTGGCCAGGACTGGGAGGATTGCCCCGAGACTCAAGAAAGGCTTTCTTGGGGCAAAATGGAGACCTAGGGAGTCTTGGAGCCTGAAACGGGGGTGGGAATAAGCTTTTGATTAATTTTAATTAATTATTTTTGGCATTTGGATCTGGTTTATGCAGGATTTACTATGCCATCAGGATTTTTTCTATTAACTGCATGTTAACATACACATTTTTCCTCTTCTGCATACTTTCAAAGGGAAACAAAAGTAACTCAAGAGCCTACATTGAGCATATTAAATGTTACACAAAATATAGCTTAACGTTGCATTTATGCAACAAGCTCAATATTTCAAATACACAATTCAGCAGAGCTGACATTTACAGTGAACATAGTATACATATGCAGTACCCACCCCATGGTCTCCAGCCATCTCTAATTATACTTCAAAAGCACTAATAGTTCTAGCTAGCTTACAGGTTCTATACTCTCAACAGCTATTGGTACTGACAAACAAAGCACATACTAGTTATGTAAGACAAAGAGGAAATGGTAAGTGAGCGTATGTGGGCTTGTGGAAGAATGCCTGACTTTTCTTTAGTAACTATGAGATATTTTCTGGTTTTTTAAAACAATGATTATGATAAACACTCTTAACACATTTCATCTGAGGTCCATAATTCCACTTACAAGTATTTAATTGGTTTCTTATCACCTTAAAAGATCCCAGTCTTATTCCCTGCCTTAACGTTGGTTTTATCCTTAGAGTTGCAGCCTTCCTCTTAAACTTGAAATGGGGATTGAGAGTTGTGCCAGCAACTGTCCTAGAGCTGGGACTGAAGGTCTCAGAAGTACAACGTGAAGTACATGGTACATGGTTCATACAATGTCAACACCACCACTTACATCCTTCATCTTTAAGCCTGGCAGAATCACTAGGGATTGTTTCTGTGCTGTGTCTCCCAAGTACCTTGGAACTATTCCAAAATGTGGGCTGGAGGCATGGGGAACTGGAGACTGACTTTTTCCGTAGTCTAAAGGTACAATGCAAGGGGTTGATCATCAATCAATTTGGGTTTGATGACAATAACAAAGCTAACCTGTATGTATGTTTGACCCTGATTAATGTTTGAAGAGTTGATGTTCCAACATTGAGAAATCAGAGAAAAAGTCTTGTAAGATCAGGTCAAGGGGTTCTCAAGCAACCTAGCATTGAGATATTCCCAGGAAGCCCTCCAGCAAGACATAGAAAACAATAAACCCACCTAACTCAATGCTGTCCTGAGGCCTGGCCACATTTCTGCTATAATCTAGTCTGTGAAGGGCTGCTGGAGAGGAATCCTGCCCGACAAGATTTTAGTTCCCCATTTCTACTACAGAAAATCTACTCTAAATTATACAAATATAAATAATGGTGCGTGGTCATATACAATTCCTTTTCCTTACCTGCACGTTGCCATGGGCTCGGGTGATGATATCAATGCTCTCCCCATTCTGTTTATACTCAAGGATGCAAGCATTATACTTTGCTGTAAGAATGAAGAGCAAATCTTTGCTCTCCCCCTTAAGAAAAAATGGAGGAAAAAAATACAATTAACAAAAATTAATAACCTTCTAGCTAGGAAAAACATCCACCCAGATCGGTAGTTGTTCTGGGTTTTTCGGGCTCTTTGGCCGTGTTCTGAAGGTTGTTCTTCCTAACGTTTCGCCAGTCTCTGTGGCCGGCATCTTCAGAGGACAGCAACCTGTGCTCACCCAGATCCTTTGGTCTTCTTCACTTAAGGGCAGTCACAAAATATGCCACTGATAGAAGCTAATGCTTTGGAATTCTTCAAATGTTTCTGGACTGACAAAGCTAACTCAGAATCCTCTCAAAAAAATTGCATAGACCATTACAAGTTATACTGTTATCATTTCACCTTTGCAGCAGCAGCTGGATGAAGTGAATTTATCTGAAACATTCTCTAAATGCAGAGTATGCAGAGTCATTTACAAAGCACTGCTAATTTAAAACGAAGCTACATGTGGTAGTTAAAAGAAGGGTAGCTGTTGAAGATTTTGGACAGGCTGGTAGACAGAATGTCTCTAAACAGATTCACTTTACAACTCTATTCTCAGCACATCTGAACAAAAAATGAACATTCTGAGAAAGCATCAATATCTATGTTTGACCACAGTTACACCAAATATAAATATTTAGCTCATGTTAACTGACATATCATTTCATGGCAAAATATATGTGCACCTCAACACTACATGTCAAAATCAGCCTAATAAGATACACAGATATGGATACACAGCCTTCACACTACTAACGTACAAGTGCCATGTCAGATCCAAAGTCATTTTTCTAGCATGGTAATGGAACGTAAAAACATATACCTTCCCATCCCCACTTGGGCACAACTCACTGGGGGATTGCAAAATTTCCTTGAATTTCTCTCATGCTATGAAAACCCTATATTAGGGTCACTGTAAGTCAGAAATGACAGCACATGACATGTACTATATAATAAGAGACACAATGTTCTTACAATATGAGAGGCTAATATACCATAGGACAAACAAGCATGTAGCAAATGGTTGTTTACTAGGCACAACACTCATCGTACAAGTGACCCAAACGATCCTCTGCAAGGCGAAGGGCAAAGAGAACCAAATCTCAAGCCAACCTGACAGGAGAGTAAATCCCCTTCTTACATACAGTCAAATCTCATCCAAGTGAACGACTCCCTAGGAAACCCTTCTGGGTGCTAAGGGACCCCACACACCTCTTGATTAGTTGTGGGGGGGACCGGGGGAAAACAGGCGATCCTCACCTTGGGCCGGAAAAGCTCCATGACGGCGATCTTGCCATACATGCCCACTTCCTTGACGGGCCGCAGCCCTTCCGCGGTGACCACATAGATCTCCAGGCGGGTGTTCTTGGCGATCAACAAGTTCAGGTCCTCCGCCGAGGTAAAGTGCCCTGGGGCGGAGGCAAAACATCGCCAAGTCGGCGGAGGATTCTGGCCGGGCAGAGGAAAATCGCAGGGGAGGGGGCTGCCAGGCTACCCCGCGCCCCATCTTCTCACGCGGCCTCCTCGCGAGCCGATCCCTTTTCTCCGCCCCCTGACGGTTTGCCTCCTCCACTCCCCCCCTCCCCCCACCACGATCTCCAGAACGCCCTCCTCCCCCACACTCCCCGCCATTACCGGTGACGCAGCTGTTGACGGCCGTGGGCTTCTGAGCCGTCACCACGTAGTTGCACGACATGGCGGTAATGGGCAAGGGGACCGACGAAGGGCCGCAGGAGGCGAAGAGCGGGGTGGGGATCGCGGCCCTCGATGGCCGCTACCGCCTCCGGTACCAGAGAGAAACCGCCAGAGCGCCCGCGCCTCCCTCTCCACGCCGCGCGGGACACCACGTGACGCCTGATAGAAGACCGACGAGACGTGCACTCGCGAACGGCGAATGCCTTAGCGCCCCCTTGTGTCCAGAAGGACATAAACGCGAAGCACTTGGGCGGGGAGGGAGAGGGTTTCCCTGAAGCGCATGCGTAAATCGAGAGAAAAAAAACCATTATGAAACTTAGCTGTCCTAGGTACGCACGCGCCTGCTGGAGGGGAAAAAAATAGGACGCTGAGAGAATCACGTGCCATAGGTCGGCGCAAGCGCGCTTCGTGCAAATCAAGCGATGGGTACCTCTTTCCCCCTCCTTTCTCCTTCCAGCGCGTGACTTGAGGCATAGTGCCTTTCAGTCAACTGTCGGAGCTCGAGCTTTTTTTGCTGCCAATCAGCTTCCTCCTCCCCGCCCCGTCAGGCCAGGGGCGCGTGTTTTATTCTCCAGCCAAGCGGAATTTGGAGTCTAGGGCAAAGTCCCGCGCGAAGCTCAAGGCTACCTGGGCGCGTCTTCCCTTCCAGCTCGTTCCTCCTCGCCCCCTCCCCCGGCCTCCTCTCCGCTTGAGAGGTGCTCACGGCAGCGAAGGCAATAACAGGGCCCTGTGGTTAAGCCCCGAAGCCGCCCGTCAGCTCCCTCCCTCTCGTCTCCAAACCTGCGACGAGTTCTGCCGGGCTGACCGCCCCGACTCCCCTTCCCCCCCGACGCTCCTCCCGGCACCATGCAGGTGAGAGCCAGCGAGGTCTGGTTGGTCTTCGAGGCAGGGGAAGGCTCTGAGGAGGACCAAGGAAGATGAACAGCCGCCCCCCCACGCGCCCTGCCCCGGGTGCCTCCGTTTCCTTGCTTTCCCTTTCCCTCATCCCCTTTTCCCTTCGGGGTTCGCGCTTCGTTAGGTAAGGTGGAGGGCAGGGACGGTCCTGCCCCTTTCACTCCCGAGAGCCAGCTCTGAAGGGTGGTCTAAAGGTGGTGAAAATGAAGGCATGCCGAGGCACTTAACCTCCCTAGCATCGCAGTCACGGTACCGTTCACCTGTCCTCCCAAGAGTTTGGGAGCGCCATGTGTGTGAAGATGTTCAGTGGTTAGGTCGGTTTGAGATTTGGTACCAGTCCAGGATTTAGGACTAAGCAGAGGTTGAAACTCAAGTCTTCTGGTCCTCACCCAGCGTTATCCATTTGTAACAGGCTGCTTTGTCCACATCTTTGTCCTCCTGTTATTAGAGAGAAATGTCTGTTTATCCCCAACCCATCCCATAGCAATACTGTATGTAGCTAAAGAATACTGACGTTATTTACTGTGGAGTCATTTTTCTTGGAAATTAAAGGAAAAAAATCAATTTGGCATACAGCTATCAGCAGAACTATGAGATAAACAGGTGCTTTGGGAGAGGATAGACTGCAAATGGTGGTGGGGGGGGGAAGACAGAGATAATATGCATTGAGTGGGGCTGTAATTGAGCAGAAAGCACAGCTGTCCAAATTCTGCCTTCATTTAGAAAAGAGACATGCAGTTTGATTTGCAGCATTCTCTGCTGGTGTTTCTTTGGAGTCACTATATACATTCTGTATATTGATTTTAAATGCTCTTTAATATTGTATGTTTTATGAGTACTGTGTCTTGGTTTAAAATCATTGGACACAAGTATACACTTATCTGTAAATTAATAAATAACAAATATAACAATTGTCCATAGTATCTGCAAATTAGTGTTCACAGCTTGAAACATGACTGAAACCAAAGTCCAAAAAGTGAAAAGGTTTTTAGCAGGCAGTTATGTGAGTGGTTTTTTCTCCTTCAGGACTTTGACATGAGGAGGTGCATGAGCCTGGTTACTGGACACAACTTGTTCATCACTTTGAAGGTTTATTTTTCAGATTTTACAAATGGATCAAGATTCAGTTGCATATTTACTTGCAAGAGCTTGCTGAAATGTCCAAACCTGGTCAGATGGTAATAAATTTGGGACCAGTGCCAAGCAGAGGGATGTAAACATGAACTTTTTTATTTTTACCTATTTTTAGGGATCAAAAAAACTAGTGAACACCATTCTAGGTTGTGCAGATGATTCATTGGCTGGAATTGTGGCCTGTAATCCACATCTCCAGCTGCTGCAAGGCCACAGAGTAGCACTGCGTTCTGACTTGGAGAATGTCCAGGGCAAAGTGGCACTTATTTCTGGAGGTGGATCTGGACATGAGCCTGCACATGCAGGTTAGTGATATTAAAGTTACAGCAGCTTTGGGCATGAGAGGGTTGTTCAATTTTGTTTCCCGTGGCATTTCATCAATGCAAAAGAGAGAGTGTGTGTGTTCTGTGAGCCCATTTTGCAACAAGTGGAATTCACTTTCTAGAGTTATAGTGAACAACAGTAGAATTGTAGTGTAATTGAGATAATCCCGTTCAAGATTATCTCAAAGATGCATTGTAGCTTTGTCTGTCATCTTTATTTAGGATACATTGGAAAGGGAATGCTTACTGGAGTGGTGGCTGGTCCAGTATTCACATCCCCTGCAGTGGGTAGCATTTTAGCAGCAATTCGGGCTGTAAAAGAAGCTGGAGCAGGTATGGTAGCATTTCTGTTGGACTGACATCTCTTCTGAATGAGGAACCAAGCTGATCATAATTTTTCTCTTTTTTCCCCCCTAGTTGGGATACTGTTAATAGTGAAGAACTACACTGGGGACCGTTTGAATTTTGGGCTAGCATTGGAACAGGCAAGGGCAGAGGGGATTACTGTGGACATGGTGGTGGTTGGTGATGACTCAGCTTTTATCACACAGAAAAAAGCTGGACGGAGAGGACTGTGTGGTACCGTACTTATACATAAGGTAGGATCTGTAACTGATTAGCACAAATGCAGCTTTAAGGCCTAAAGGGATATGAACAATGTGAGATGCCCTTGGCAACTGCTTTCTGTACATTGTACACTTTTATATACTGTATGTTATATTATTATATGTTGTACAGCACAGTACATAAATAGAACTGGGGAACAAACGTGGAAAGACATATTATCTTTTGGCTAAAATACGGTGATGTGAAATGGGAAGTAAGACTGAAACATCTTCAGATAATCCATCAGACTGAAATCTTTCAGAGGATTGTCATCTTGTTTACAATTGTGGGTTAGAAATCTTACTTTTTAAACAACAGAGACTTCAGATTTTGTGTGGAATTCTTCTTATAGAGTTACAGAATGTAAACATCTTTGAAGAAATGCTGTTTAGGTTGCAGGTTTTAGTCACAAAAGGAGAAAGTGAATGTAGGCTTAAGTTACAATTTTAGTGTTCTTTTAATGTTGCAAACATGTTTCTTCAGGTATATAACTTCAGGTTCAGATTCCATTCCACACCCTGGGATCAGTGTTTTTGTCAGCTGTTACTTTTGTTTGCATCTAGATGGATTTCCACTATTTAAAAATATTTTTCATTGCTGTTGCATTTAGATAAATATATAATTATTATTCACTGCATTTGGTTTATTTGGAATCATAGATTTTTCAGAGTAGATTTCTTCTATATATTTGAATATTTGTCAAATTTTTGGTAATAATTATTTTTAAGGGCAAAATGTAATTTGAGTCTATGGAATTTTTATTTATTTCTTCCCAAAATACTGAATATTTGTGTTGGACGTGCAATCTACTTGAGCTGAATATGTATATACATATGTATTTATTTTCATTAATTCAGAGGATTTATTTCTGAGTAAATACAAATAGGTTTGGGCTTTGCAAATAGGTTTGGGCTTTGCAGCTGCAATCCTATCAATCTGTACTTCGAAGTAAGTCCCATTAAACCAGTTAGTGTTAGATAAATAGCTGTGTAAGCTATTGTGAGTCATACCCTAATCTCCTATCCAGAACTATTTTGCTTCACTTTTAGGACTAAAGCATATGGTTGTGTCACTGTAATATGATGTAGGAGAATGAGTAATGATCTGTTTCAATTATTATGTTGAGAAATCAGGATATAATTTTTTTCTTCCAATTATTTATCTTTAGGTGGCTGGGGCTCTTGCTGAGGCAGGTGTTGGTCTGAATGAAATTGTTCGAAGAGTTACTGCTGTCAAAGGAGAAATGGGTAAGTGTTTAAACACCTCACTTATCTGGAGAAGAGCCTTTGATTCAAGGTTATGCTATTCAACTTCACCTGGCAAATCAGGTAGTTAGCAAGGGCATGCTGGCTAAAGTTCTTACCTGGTTTTCAGATACAGTGATACCTCGACTTACAGTGGTACCTCAACTTACCGTATTTTTCCATGTATAAGACTTTACAGTGGGGTCTTGACTTAAGAACGGCTCGAGTTAAGAACATTTTGACTTAAGAACCACTCTCATAGGAAAATATTGACTTGACTTAAGTACTTAGATTTGAGTTCAGAACTAAAAAAAACCACGTGGGAGGCAGGGAAAGTGCAAAATTTGAACTTTCAGTTAACTGTTGGCCAGTGAAAAGGGTGCCTGTCTGCTTCCTCACTCCTCCCAGCGTTTAGAGAGTGGATTGGGAGACAGTCTTCGGACTGCCTGGTACTGTACTGCCTGGACTGTATTTTCCCTGCCTTCCCTGAACCTTTCTTGACCTAAGAAAAAAAGAAACAAAATATCCCCCTCTAGTGGTCGAAGGCGGAATAGCAGCTTCCCATTAGTTTCTATGGACGGAAAAGAGCAGATACGGATCAAATGGTTTTCAATGCATTCCTATGGGAAATGCAGATTTGACTTGAGAACTTTTTGACTTGAGAACCGCCTTCCAATACGGATTAAGTTCTCAAGTCAAGACCCCACTGTACTTTTGTCTAAAATCTTTAGAATAAAAATTGAGGGTCGTCTTATGCACGGAAGTAAGCTGAGGAGAGAACAAAAACAATGGAAGGGAAAGCAGGGATCGAAGTGATCCTGCAGGGCTTTGACCTGTCCCCCTACACTTGCTAAGTCCCACTTAGATTTCTTACTTTTTGGTTAGAAAAGTGGGAGGGTCTTATACATGGGGGTGTCATACATGGAAAATACAGGTAATCCGTATTGGAATGGTGTTCGTAAGTTGAAATGTTCATAAGTCGAAATACCATTTCCCTTTGAAATGCATGGGAATAGGATTAATCTGTTCCAGCATTTCAAAAAAATACCAAAAATAAAAATAAACAGCAAGTCCCACGCTGGGACTACAAAAAAAAATCACCAAAAACAAAACAACACCGACCCTCAATTCCCCCCAAAAAACAAAAAACTTTTTAAAAAGCAGCACTTTACCAATCTGAAGCCTCCTCAGCCTCCCAGGCTTCCATCGCTGTTGCGATCGTCGCGGCCAGGAGGCTTAAGCCTGGCTGGGTTTCTTCGGCCGCTCGCCTTCCACTTGCTCCGCGCCACTCTCCATGGGCTGATGACGGGAAATTCAAATGGTGGAGGGCAGCAAGGAGCGAACTCAAGCCTCCTGGCGCTCTGTTGCCTCAGCCAGGGGCGAGCGGCCAAGCGCCCGGCCAGCTCAAGCCTCCCGGTGCTGGGCTTCCACTGCCTCCGCCGCTGCTGCAAGAGCACCCAGGAGGCTCAAGCCTCCTGGCTCTGGGCTACCCTCGCCGCCCGCACCCCCCTGCCAGAGCACCCAGGAGGCTCAAGCCTCCTGGCTCTCGGCTACCCCCACCACATCCCTTTCCCTAACCATTGGGGCGAAAGAGCTACAAAGAAGCAGCCTCATTGCCACCAACATTTCAGTAAATTAAATTTCCTGCCCTTTTCCCCTGCCTTTTTGTGTTCTTAAGTCGAAGCAACATTTTGTGAACTGAGCCGTTTGAGACTCGAAATGTTCCTAAGTGGAGACGTTCGTAAGTCGAGGTACCACTGTACAATGTCTTCTATCTGCTGCTGTTAAGAGCAGCAGAAAGAAGGCATTCTATCTGGAAACCAGAGTAAGAAAGCTAAAAGAACTTCCTCATTCTGTTTTTACAAAACCAAGAGTGTATGTTGACTTAAAACAAGTGATCCCCTCCTGGAAAGAATGACCATATTCTAAGGCTATACCGCTATGCTGTTTCTTATGATATCCAATGTAGTTTAATAATTGGAGTGTGGACCAAAAGTTGGGTCACTCAGTTTCAAATCCCATGTCAGCAACGAACCCCACTGATTGTCTCTGGGCCTGTCAGTGTCTCTTAATTTACACATCTGACATAGTTGTTGTGAGAATAACGAGAGAGTCAGATGAGTTCCTTGGAGAAAAGGATGATAACAAAAATAAATTCCATGATTCACTTATTGACTGAAATCCTGTTCCTTAAACCAGAGTAGGCCCTTTAAATCAGTGCTGATTTGATGAGTCAACTCCTCCATAAACTCCATTGCTTCAAATGGACCTACTCTAGTTGTGCTAAATCTGTTGTAAAAAGATGCTGAAAATGTTTTTTTTATGTTACTTACTGTGCTAAAGCAAGCTGCAGCTAAAGTAGGCCCATTTGAATCAACAGAACTTAAGGAAGAATTGACTTTCCAAATTCCCACTGCTTCAGTGGGCCTGCTGTCATGTGACTTAATACGGTAAGTAGCAGGATTTCAGCCATTATATCACAATTGTTCTTCCAACTTTGTGTTCTTCAATCCAATATCACATGGTTTTAATATCATTCAAAGTTCTGCACTGTAGCCCAGGGCATGAGTAAGCCTTATTTGTTTTTGTATCTATTTTCTTATCCTGATGCTGAAATGTTTGTTTAGTAACAGAAGTTATGTTTTTACTCCTTTTCTTTGCACAGGCACCCTTGGAGTGAGTCTGTCTCCTTGCAGTGTCCCTGGATCAAGACCCACCTTTGAGCTTGCTGCTGATGAGCTTGAGTTAGGTTTGGGTGAGGATATATCTTCTAATTTTATTTATCTACTTCCTCATGAACAATGCCGCTTTGCATTGGGGAACTGCCTCTACTTTCCTGTTTTCAGCTAAGACAAGTTGCCCATGATTTATAGGCAAAGCAGTGTATCTGTAATGCTGTTGTGGATGATATATGTATTTGTTCTTGGGCCAAAACACTTAAAAATAAATTGGGATGACAATTCATTGCCTATATCTGTTCTTACGCCAAAGATAAGTTGCATGGTATAACTTAGTGCCATTTAATTATGTGATTTTCATTAGAAAGACATTAGCTGTGGCAGGTCCTTTTTCTAATATTTTGCTCTTGTAGGAATTCATGGGGAAGCAGGTGTACGCAGGATGAAGGTAAGTTGGGTGTTGCCTTTTGCAGGGCAAGTAGAAACATGAGCATTCGGTCTTAATACGAACTTGTCTGGCTTATGCTTGCCTTTTTTCCCCCCACAGGTTACATCAGCAGACCAGATTGTGAAGATAATGCTGGATCAGATGACCAATGCTTCCAGCGCGTCACGTCTGCAAGTCAGGCCTGGCAAGTAAAAGTCTTGAGGTTGCCCTAGATATTATTCCTATTGCTAAAGGGCTTTGGAAACCAATTTTAAATGGCTGCTTTTGTAATTCTGAGCTGTGACATTAAACTAAATAACTAGACCAATCACATGAAGCATTTCTAAGACATCAGTGATTCTTGAAGTGGGAGACTGTAGTCTAGTTGGACGCTCGCAGTGATTTGTAATTCTTTATGTTAACCCAGATATGGAGAAGCAACCATAAAGAATCTGTTGTAAGAAGATACTGAAAATGTTATTTTTTAATGTTACAATTCCCAGAATCCCACAGCCAAACTGGCCATTGACCATGCTGACTGAGAGGTTGGAATTTGTAGTCCAAAATGTAACTCTTCCAATCTTAATGTATTCCACACACTGCACTACACGTCTAAGAAGAACATTGGCTGAAATCCTGTTGAGTGGAGTATGCCTGTGCATAGAGATTTTTATTTATTTGATTTTTTTATACTTCTCATCTGGCTACCGAGGCCACTCTGGACAGTTTATACAGTTGAACCACATATCATTAACAATGATTAAAACAAAACATAATAATATAAATCAGAATTAAGAATAAACATATCTAAATGTAATCATATACTACCTAAATTAAAAAAGCAAGAGGCAGGATAGATAATACAAGTGTTAAGAGCGCCACTGTATTAAGATGTTAAAGATCTGGAAAGGCCTGTCTAAAAAAACACGTTTTTAACAATCAGTAGAGATGGGTAGGTGTGAATACGGGTTTGTTCTGCCAGGGGCGGTTCCGTTGACAGCGCGGGGGAAAAAGGACAGGAGGCTGTTCTTCTTTTCTAACAGAATTCGATTTATTTGTAAACAAACTCAACTCGGCTGGCTCAAAAGGATCCATTAAACTTAACTCTGGTAACAACTTATAACTTCAAACTCGCATGGTTATTTCTTTGTCTTTTCTTCTTACTGGGGGGCTGGCCCAAAGCGCTCCTGGTCTGTCATAGGCCGAATCGGTGTGGTCCTGACCGTGCAGACTGTCCCACAACAGGGGAGTCTCGCCCAGTCCCCCTCCCACTGGCTCTGGAGCAAAGAGGGACTGGGACGGATCACCCTCCTCCCCCCCCACGCTGATTGCCGGGGTAAACCACCACAGTCCATTCCAGGGGATCTACCTCTTGCCCGCGCGTGAAGAAATCAGGAGGTCCCGGCATCAATCCTCCATCTATTTGCAGATTGGGAAATTCTTTAAGCAGCTTAAGTAAACTCTCCTGGTCCATGCTCCATTCTGTCTGCACAGATCTATCCTTCTTATCAGCCTGCTCGCTTCTCACCACTCTGAAACTTCCCACCTTTTTGTCCCGTTATATCTTCCCATATAATCAAATCAAGCTGCTCCCCTTTATCATCAGCTAAACACTTCTCTAGGTGTTGTACTTCCCTGTCATCCTGTTCCACTTCCACTAGTATCCCCTCTACACACTCTGCTCCTCCTTCTGTTCCTTTGCCTGTGGAGGACGGCTCACTCCCTTTCTCTCCTTCACAGTAGGTCTATGGAAAAAACTTAAAAATTGGGGGAAAACAGGGGTTTTTTTTGTTCTTTTCCAAAGCTATTCTTTGTTTTATTCTGGAAAAATTGGAAAAAAAACACAGTGTAGAATACGTTATTTTACAATGATAAATAGCATGTCTATGATACAATATTCAAATTATATAACATGAAGACCTTAATGAAAGATTTCTGACACATTATGTATTTGAGTTCTCTGAGAGGCTGTGCAACAGGAATATCATTGGTGGCAGCACTGATACTGATTTAAGACTTCTTTTTGTGATTTTGGGGTGCATGCAACTTTATTGCACTGTGTCTGAGTTGTGTGCATCCTGACACCCCATGTTGCTGCTGCTGCTGTGCTTCCTGTTTTGCTGGCATACTCCACCCAACAGGATTTTGGCCACAATTACACAGCTTGTGTCTCCCCTCCCCCCCGATTTCATTTTTTTTTAATCTACTCTCTTTTGGCTTTCAGGTGATTCTGTAGTTTTGGTAGTAAACAACTTGGGTGGATTATCCTACCTTGAGTTGGGGATAGTAGCTGGATCTGCTGTACATTATCTTGGTAAGTTTTTCTCTCAAGAATGAGGTGAAGGGAAAGTTTCTGATACATGGGATATTGATTTATCAGTTATATGTATCTGCTACTGTTCCTTCACTGAACTGAAGATGGCTTATGTGGGTCTATTTCTTACCACTCCATTCTCACAGCTCCTCTGTGAAATGAGTCAGACCAAGAATGAGAGACTGACCCCAAGTCAACTTGTAAGTTTTATAACTCAGTGGAAACCAGAACCTGTATTTCCCAAGTCCCTGTCAGACAAGTAATCACTATACCACATTGGCTGTCATAGAATAATTGAGTTGGAAGGAAGCCATAAGGCCATTGAGTCCAACCTCCTGCTCAGTGAAGGAATCATTTGGTCTGAAACTCTGATCACATTGGATTTTTTTAAAAGATATATTCTGGTCATTATCATTAGTACACAGTCATCTATACCACCCCCTTGCTCCAATGCAGGACAATTCAAATGCACCATGAATCTGTCCAGGTCATCCAGACCCCTGAGCTGAGATTAAATGCAGCTCAAAGACTGCATACCATATGAATAAGTTCAAATGTGTGCAACAAACTAATTCATGCATTGCAGAGGAAGTACAAAATAAAAATAAAGCATCACTTGTCAGTCTGACTTAGAGGATGTCTTTCCCATCCCAGCCCATATGGCTGGCCTTGAACATGATCTTCACATATCCCAACTGGCATATAATTAGGTGCACCTCCACCAAACATCCTATCCTGTGGTATTAGTGTGCCCCATCATAGTTAGACCATGCTGTGGTGTAGAAGAAAAGGATCCTTTCTGATATTGGTGAGTCACAAACATATTAAAATAAATTGCACAGTATAATACTATATAGACCTCTATAGTTCTGGCTTGATGCAGTGCTCTTGACAGAGATTGGGTGATCAAGCATGTTTTTCAGTTTCTCATAATGTTTTCCCTATCTTAAAATCAGGATGGGAGTGGGAAATAGTTCTAGCATTCCAATTATACTATAGTCTTATTTTGTTATTGGATGACATCAAGGAGGGGTCAAAATGATTTGGGAGAGTGGTAGAGAAATCAGCACTGATAATGCCATCTGGAAGTTGATACGGAAGAAATTGTTTCAGAAAATATCAAACAAATTAAGGGTTTCAAAGTGACCAAAATCCTGTTGCTTAGAGTAGCAAATCACACTAGAATAAGCCCATTTAGTCAGTCACCTCCACAAGTTCCATTGATGCAAATGTTAGTCACAACTAGATTAGATCCATTTGAATCAATGGAACTTATTTATTTATTGGACTTGTATGCTGCCCATCCCCTTGATTCAATAGGCCGCCTCTAGCATGATTTACTATGCTCAGCAAAGGAATTTTGTCTATTAATATACAAGGTGGTGTGTGACACCTAAAATAATAAAACAGATTACTAGAACATTTATATGAGTAGATGCTAGAGATGGTGACTTCGAACCATCTAGCAATTATAGGAGTAGAAAAATTATCTTAGGAGCAGAGGTTGAATAGTTGTGGGAAACAATCTTTCTCTCTCACACACACATGCCTATCTCATTGGATTCAAGACAAAAAGTCTAGTTCAAAGTAGTCATGTTTCTCATGCAGTTCCAGAGGTGAACCAAATGCAAAATAGTTTTTCTACTTTTACTACAAGCAGAGGAAGAATCACAATAGTCTTTCCTCTGTATCCCTCTGCGCCCAGTGGGAGAATCCTTTAAGCAGAGTTCCATTTATAAGAACTCAAGAACTGACTTGTTACTTCTTAATACCATATCACCATTTTGTGACCAGTTTTCTGACTCCCCTTCCCAGTTACTTCTCCATAAATGTGACTCTACAATATTTAAATAAGTATTTTTTAATTGGCTCCTCCATAACTCTTCCTCATTCTGGTTCCTTACCTATAACATTGCTTATCAGTTTTATTTTCATCATTGCAGAGAACAAGGGTGTTCATATTGCCCGGGCTTATGTTGGCTCTTTTATGACTGCACTTGAGATGGCAGGTGTATCCCTTACTCTTCTGCTTGTGGATGATGAAATCTTAAGCCTTCTCGGTAAGTTCCTTTGGTGTCTGGTTTTTTCCCCAGCTTTCTGACTAAGAAATTAAATTGTAGTTTAATTGTCCTGGTCTATATGTGTATATAAGACACACATTTTAAAAATATATGTATTCATTTCCCTTCTGATAATAAGTTGATTTCCTGCATCCAGTGTAGATAACAGGTAATTCAGGTAAAATTTCATTCCTGAGCCATTTTCCTATTGTGATATCCAACTATGGTATATGATTTGATTCAATGGGATTTATGTAAATGTTTACTTACCATATAGCAATTAAATCATCAAGGCTATTCTTATAAGGACTAGCAAAAAAACCTCTAGCCCTCATGTGTTATGCAAACTGGGTGGAACATCAACTAGCATAGGTCCCTCTCACTAATACAAGCTCCTTCTGGGCTGCCTATTTCTGTCATGGTGGGTTTGATTATTTTGGGTACTTTTTGTGGTTTCTGTTAAAAAATGTTAAGAATCCTCAGAGCCATTTGGTAATAACCTCATGAAGTATATGAAGTAGTGTGCTGTTGTGAAATTGCAACTGATGGTTGTATTCTATTTCTTAGATTCAGATACTTCAGCTGTTGCCTGGTCACAGCCTGCCAAAGTGCCTGTGTCAGGCCAGAGAAGAGAACGGAGAGCACCTAAGGAGACTCCTGAGGAAGAGGAGTCTTCACCACAAGGTACTGGATGAAGCATCTGTAGTTATTTTGAATGATTTTCAGCTATTCTTTAGGCTGCTTCATTTTTTCCATTGAGATTGTTTATGATTCTGGTTCCCATCTCTTGAGAGATAGCACAAAGATATGGAGGGGAAAACATCATCAGTTTGAATCCCTATACCATCTTTGGAAGGCTGGAGACAAAGACAGTTTCGACATCTGTTTATTTTTACCAGGGTGGCTTCTATGTTCCAGTTTCAAATTCTTCATGGTATCTTCCCTCTCATACTCTGGGACACACTGGTGCTGTGTTCCCATCAGCTTTTCTATCTACAAGATACTGAGAATAAAATACTATTGAACAGTAACATTTTTGTCTGAATAGCCAATAAACTAGTTCAGTATTCATCAGTGAGATGGACTTTCTGGAAAAAAATATTATAGATGTGTTTTTGCAGCCCTAAAAACATGCCTGTTCATTATAATAATATCAATGTAAATAATTTTTATACAGTATATGATAGCACTGCCATAGAATCAAGCCACATACATGTTTATATTACAATAGGACCCCCATATCCACTGGGGATTGGTTACAAGCCCCACCGTGGATACTGAAAACCGCAGATAATAGAGAACATGAGAGGGAGAGCATGGCAAAAGTAAAACACCATTTTTTTCACATGCATTACCAGAATGGGCTACCAGAGGGTGCTGTGTATTCTTCACAAACAAGTATTCTTAGCATGGTCTGTGGCTCCCTGTAGTGGCCAGTACATATGAAAATAGTTTTTTATATATTTTTTCAGACTGTAGACAAGTGAAACCGTGGATACTGATCCCACAGATAAGGGGATCCTACTGTATTTCATCACTTTAAAAATAGGACATTTCAGCTGAATCATTACTGACATTCAGTTGCTTCAGTGGATTTTGAGAATTCTAAAGTAAATTTGTAGAACATCCTGAAGAAATGCTATGTTTTGTTACTTTCCTCCTCATATACATATTATTAAAGAGAAATTCATGACAATATCAGTACCTGATATATAAGAAAACAGAAGCTTCCTCACTGTTGAAATAAGAGATCTGTTTACTTCCAACTCTTTTAGAGCCAGCCTCCCCGCACATGAAAAATGTTCTAGAGAGTGTGTGTAATACACTGCTCGGCCTACAGGAGGAGCTTAATGATTTGGATCGGGCTGCAGGCGACGGGGACTGTGGCAGCACTCATGCTAGGGCTGCTAGAGGTTAGTTTTCTTCTGAACTCTTGTCATTCCATATGCAATTAACCCCAACTTATGTTCCATTAAAGTCATGGGATTTGGGACTTCAGTCATAATTATGGCTGGCCCTACACGTTTGCAATAATCTGCAGCAAAGGTATTTACTCTGGGTTAGCTGCAAACAGATGTGACCCCATTTGCAACACACCTCTTTTGATGTGATTCTTCACATTAGCACAACTGAGCCTAGACATGTGGATGAAGCCTCAGAAGGTGACTGTCTGAAAGACGAAGGGATTGGGGATAGGAATGGAGGACAGAAAGCTAAGACTTGGAATGGCTGGGATTTGGGCTGCAAATGTTGAAAGGCAGAATCAGAAGAGTCCTTGTCAAAGCCCCAAGGGTGAGATTTCACCAACTGGGTGACTTTGGAGCATTTCAGTAACCTGCACATGCATGTCTGCATTTCTGTCACACACACACTTCATGGGTTCCACAAAGCCTTCTATTTGGGTGAGTCTTCCAAGGAATGTAAGAGCTGTACACAAGCCTTACTCTGGATTGGGTGCTGCCATAGGGTTCATGTCATGTGTAGCAACAGGAGTAGCTGCAAATTCCATCAACTTTTTCCAGTGTATGTAGTTTTGGCAGATGTCACCTTCCCAAAGCTTAGCAATGAGTTGTTAAAGTTAGGTTTCTGCTGCTTTTGTTGTTTCTATAGAATATAATTGGATTTATTCTTAGTGGCATATTGCTAACATTAAGCTTAAGTAGAGCAGAGAGTATTCTCAAAGAAGCTTCATGTGTGTTCAAACAAGAAGAGTGAGACCAAACATGTGTGTGTGTGTTTAGTCGTTTAGTCGTGTCCGACTCTTCGTGACCCCATGGACCAGAGCACGCCAGGCCCTCCTGTCTTCTACTGCCTCCCGGAGTTGTGTCAGGTTCATGTTGGTTGCTTCGCAGACACTGTCCAGCCATCTCATCCTCGGTCGTCCGCTTCTCCTCTTGCCATCACACTTTCCCAACATCAGGGTCTTTTCCAGGGAGTCTT